CATCACTGAAATGTTGCTGTTTTGACAAGGAACTGGCAAGAACTACATTCCCTTACTTTGGGTAAGTGGCTAAAACAGCTGTTTTAAGATGTTCTTCTGGAATGGCAGGTGATTGAAAACTATCAGCTGCCCTGTTGCTCCTGGGCCCTCAGGGCGTTCCAGAACAGGGAAAGTTGTACAACAAGCCCCTGTGTGCACAGGTATCCACTCGGATGCTTGAGCTTTTGTGTGTCTGTTGGTTTGTTTCAGGATCCCCAAACAAAATAAAAACAGTTTATTGGTAACATGTAACTTAGGGACAGTCCGAGCTATTACGCACAGATTTCTGGAGCATTTTTATTTCCGATGCCCAATTCATCCCTGATTCCAGCACCTGACCTCTAGTGTTCCTCTGGGTGTGAAGAGCAGTGCTCCTGGCCCCATGGAGTGGCCCCTGCTTTCCTGCTTATTTTGCTCTGATTTCTCCTAATCTCTCAATTTCTCTCACTATTGGCTTCTTCCTATAGCATGTCACCCCACCCTGTTTCTGAGCCCACCATCTCCCCAGAAACCTTATCACCTATTCACTGCCTCCTTCTAGCATTTCCCCTTGTCAACTGATGCCCATTAGCCTCAATTCAACACCAGCAGGAACCCCCAGTTTGGTGTGTGATGAGAAAAGTGCCAAGAGCTCCACTGTGATGCCGCATGGGTGTTAGGACAGCACAGCTGTATGACAACTCAGTAGCTTTGCTGTTCCATTTTGAAGCACTCAGCTGTGGGACAGCATGGTTGTGAGGTAGCCTTGGGGTGAGCTGGTTTTGGGCTGAGGCACCTTTCTGCCTAGACAGCTGGCTCTGCTCTGGTCTTCTCCACCTGCCCTAGTCCACTCCACTCTGCCCGGCACCCATCTGCTTCTCTCTGCTGGTCTGCTCTGATCTCTCTGGCAAGACATCTTTGGTGTTTCATCTTCAATGTATCAGCTCCAGCTGAGGGAACACAATCTTCAGTCTTTGGTGGAAAGAGAAAGTGTGCTGTCTGAGCCAAAGGGAGCTAACTTACACAGTCAGAAGTGCCCACCCCTGTTCCCTGATTGGTCTCTCCTGATGCAAATAAGGACTTCACATCCTCACAGTTTGGTCCAACAAGCACTGCCCTGAATGGTCACAATGGAGCTGCTGTGATTGGTCAGTAAAAAATTGCTGATGGGGACGTAATTGTACAGCTCCAATTGGATGGGGAAAGCCTCAGTCCCATTGGTTGAAATACAATTCCAGGAACTCCTATATGAGGGCTGCCTCCAGTGCAGACAGGCAGCTCAGTGTCAGATGCAGGCAGTTTAGTGCAGCCTTCTCCCTGAAGTGCGGTTTGGGTAAGAGACCCCTGTGTAGAAATGGCTGCAAGGCCCCCCCCCCCCCTTTTTTTTTAATTTGAAACCAGCTAAGCCACCAGGAGTCTTCTTGGTAGATATTTTCTTTCTTTCTTTATATCTCCTCCAGTTTTTTATCTTTTTAAAAAGATTCTAATTTATTTTTAGAGAGAGAGGAAGGGAGGGAGACAGAGAGGGAGAGAAATATCAATGTGTGGTTGCTTCTCTCATGCCCCAAACTGTGGACCTGGCCTGCAACCTAGGCATGTGCTCTGACTGGGAATCGAACCAGAGACTCCTTGATTCCCAGGCTTGTGCTCAATTCACTGAGCTACACCAGCCAGGGTATCTATTATTTTATCTTATCTCAACCACATCTCAAAAATATATAGAAAATAATCAAGGAAAAATTCTAATAGAAAAATGAAAACTTTGAAATATTCCTGTATAATAACACACTACTTGTATCTAGTTGAAAAAAGAGTTAGTAGATATTCACCTCTCTGGATTCAGAGTGCTGGAGCCCTGGACTTTTGACAGGACCGTGTGTCCCACAGGTAAAGGGCCTGCGCTCTTCCTCTGGGAGGCCGGTCCACAGAGGTGAAGCGAGAGGCAGAGAGGAGAAGCGCATCCTTGCCTTGCTCCAACAGGCCACACAGATGACACTGCCACCATATCTAGAGTCCCGAGACAGCCCCAAAGCCCTTTAGTAACCAGAGTCGTCCACACAGGCCAGCAGTGGCCTGCTCGTCACACTGTTTGGGAAAGGAGACTTCTCGAAGGCACAGTGATATTATCTTTCAAGCACCCCCTACCTCCCCTCATTACCAAAGACAGGGGAGTAAAGTGTCCAGGCGGCTGTGACCAGTGACCATGTTTGATAGCTTTTTTTTGTCTGCCAGAAGATTTTTGGGGTAGAGAAAGAATGTAGTCATACTTTCTATCTACTTTCCTATTTTTGTTGCCTCGGAGATCTAGTTCTTAGATCTACAGATGAGCAGAGAGGGAAAAACAGTAAAGGTGGCATTTCTATCCTGTGCCAGGCTAGTGGATGCTTTATATTTTTCACTAAATTGTCACAACGACCCCAACTTTTAGATGGGGAAATGGAGGCTGACAGTGACTATATCCCTTGCTGGTTATGAGTAAATGCCAGAACAGAGATTTTTACTCAGGATCGCTTGCTCCCAACATCTTTCTTTCCAGTGTCTGAGGCCCCACATGTCAAGAATCCCTGTCCCAAAGGCACAGGGCACAGTGAAAGAGAATTTGGCCATCACTGGGGTTTCAAGTCAGATCATTAGAAGTGTTTTCCAGCATTCATCCTGATGGTTGGCCCAGGAGGGGTTCTGTCACACCCCTCAGAGACAGGAAAGAGCTGAGAAGACATCCCACACGGACAGGCATGAGGGGGTCCATGGGGAAGCTCCAGCCCCGGCGAGGGAAGGAAGAAGTGGTCAGGCAGGGCTAAGGGCGACTGCACGGGCCATGTTATTTGGCTTTAAGTGTCCAGAAGTTCAGCAGACATTGCTAAAACTGGCAATTAAATCCTATTGATTTCTACATAGTAGGTTATTCTCATAACTGGTTGTAGTAAAAATTAATGTACTATTCCTTTAACCAACCAAGAAATTAACCACTCTTAGTGAATGAATAATTATGATATAAAAGGACTAATGCTAAACAATGAAATCTGCTTAAATTATAGTATAAAACCTATACATTTGTTACAAATTTAACTTGAAAGCTTACTGAAAATTTCAAATTTGATGTCAAATTATATCTGATAGAAAAATAATTTAACAAGAGCCAATTGGTCTCAAGTGCTAGGTTTTATTAGTAAAGTTCAAGATATAGGAGGCGATAGTGAAGGAAAGCAGTGCTAAATACCTCCTCTGAGGTGGGCGCACAAAATCTGCCACGTCATGGTTTTCCTCTGGTAGTTAGGGAAATATATGTGAAGTTCTATTTTTATAGCTTAAGACTTTATAGATTTAAAATAGGATATTACTTCCAAATCTTTGCAAAAGATATAAGCAGGCAAAACCTAGTATTTTAACAAAAAACTTAAAGTAAAGCCTTAGTGAAGAGCCATAAAAAACAGTAAAATTTTAATGACAAGGGACAACATGCAGAACAATTTGCATACACAATGATTCAAAATGTAATGTGTGTGTGTGCATGTGAGCAGGGAGGTTAGAAAAGTAGACCCCCAAATAGGCTAATGTGTACTGGCTTCTATAAAACATGTTGCTTTTATATTGAGAGAAAATAAGTAGTATGTCAACCATACAATGGCACCCCCGATGTGCAGACAGCCACCCAGGCCCTGGGCCAAGCCCTTGTTCGGCTTCAGGAAGCCGGGGAGTGTGGGTTTGCCCTGAGAATTCCCTCAGCAGGTGCTCCACTGAGCATGCCCTCCTCCGATCCCAGCATCTCGTCAGAGACCGTGGACTCGAGTGTTTGCTCTTGTTCATTTAAAATGTATGTAAGGTGTAACTTAACATCTCTACTAACAACATTTATACCTCAGTAGGTATATGATTTAAATAAATAACTGTGTAATGGTGGGAATTCAAGAAGCAGAAGAAATACATTTTGCGGGTGGTGGGGCGGGGCATGGGCATGTTGCCTAACCCTCTGAACCAGGACCGACTTGCCCATGTGGCACAGCAGCACAATGCCCAGGCCCACAGCAGCTTCAGGGGCCATTAAAATGATTGAATTATGCCTTGGCTGGTGTAGCTCAGTGGATTGAGTGCAGGCCTGCAAACCAAAGGATTGCGGTTTAATTCCCAGTTGCAGGCCAGTTCCCAGCAGGGGACACACGAGAGGCAACCATACATTGATATTTATCTCCCTCTCTCCTTGCCTTCCCCTCTGAAGATAAATACATAAAATCTTTAAAAAATGACTGAATTGTGAATCATTTTAAAATCAGAAGAAAAACGGAATACAATAACAAACATAAAATAATGAATTCAGCCTGTACTATATTTGTCTTACACCAACAGAGTCATACAATATAAATCTTAATCTTTTTTATGGAAGAAGAAGATCATGGAGGCAAGAATGCCTGGGGTTCATGAAAGTCACAATGCAGTCTGCCCTGGATTTGTAGTGCACTGAGCTCATCGCCCCCTGAACCAATAGCATTTCTCAGCTCATAGACCACTGAACCCAGAGCACCCAGCGCTCCTGGCAGCTCTCAGCCCTCTGCATCCTTGAAGTCATAGCCCCATAAATCAGAGCTCCTGATCTCATAACACTTCTGAACTCATCCCCTCTGAGCTCATGGCCCCCTAAAGTCTTAGCACATCTGAGTTCATAGCATCCCTGAGCTCATTGCACCCCTAAACTCATAGCACCCTTGAAATTATAGCACCCCAGAGCTCATAGCATTTGTGAACTCCAGCACCCCTAGAGCACCCCTGACTGGTGGCGCCCTGCTCTCTCCTGCCATGCCCGAATCACCCTAGCTTATGAGGCAGCCCCTAGTCATAAGTTGTCATTCAAATACCTAATCAATGGCAGAAAATGTCACATTTACTGGCAAATTGGTGTTACTGATCTATACAAACAATGTTGTTTGTGTTCTATTTTTATGTGAGACAAGATTTCAAAACTTTTTTCTGTTTTCTTTTTTTTAAAGAAAGGCAGACTGCTACCTGCAGCACCTCATTGGGATGTGTCTGGAGTCTTGGAAGCTTGACTAGTCTGCGGTTTCCTGCAAACGGGCCTTGAGAGCTTGTCTGGAGGTTCTAGCAGGGGAGCACAACTACACTGTACCCTTGACTGAAGACCAGCGCTCTGCTCTAGATGGGAAGGTCGTTCGTCCTCTTCTACCGCAGCTTGCAGCTTCGGGAGGGCCGCACAGGGATCTGTGAGGGAGGAAGCGGACGCCCGCCCCGCCGGGCAGATCAGCCAAGTCAACCCTGGTGATCCATAGGGCGACAGATATCGCGGCCAGATCGCCCTCACATCTTTAACACTTTTTATTGAACTTTGCACTGTAGTTCACAAAACAGAGTACACACACAAGTGGCAGTGGAAAAGCCTGGATTTCGGAGTCAGGAGAGTTTTACCAGGATCGAACGTCTAATAGATATTAAACCTTGTGTGTTTTATTTAACCGGCCTGAGGCTCAGTTTCCTATCTGGTAAATGGGAATAACATTTACTTTTAGAGCTTTTGTGCAGTTAATATGAAAGAAATGCAAAGTGCTGGCACTTCTCTGGAAAACAGTGTCCCTCAATAAATGACCGCTCAGCAGACCACTCAGCAGCAATGCCCAGGCCTGACCTGCTCCCGGTGGCTGACATTCCCAGGCTTCGTCCAGTTTGATGGGAAAGGCTGTGATTACTAGAATGTATGCCACTTGTCCAGAAGATGTGTTTAATGATGTGGGACTCAAAATGAGTTAGGAAGATATAGTTAGCTTAAAAATGTCCATGTTTATAAATGTATCATGTGTAGCAATGAAATTACCTACTAAAATTCAATAATGATTTGACATGAACCAAAAACATATGAGTTCACATAAAATGTAAAAAATAAATCAGTATAAAAATATACTGACACAGATTTGTTCAACCATCACTTCTGGATCCACAGATAATTAAATTATCAAACACTGTGAGCCTCTAGTCACTGAGGATTCATTAGTGAGTGAGACAAAATCTCTCTCCTCGTGGTCTGAACTTCTCCCGTGAGAGAGAGAAAACCGACAAGGAAACTGCGTATCAGCCTTGTGTTCCTGAGAGTTCATCACATCACTTTGCCTTATAACCACCATACATTATTTCACATAGTGTTCATTGCTGTGGAGAAAAAAGTCAGGGTAACAGCACAGGTGGTAATATGGGTGGAGGCATTGCAGAGGAGGTAAGTTCTGAACGACCGTTCAGAGAAGTCAGGAGAGTGTATCTTCCCCACCCCCGCCCGGCGCTGAGGCCACAGCCTGAGGCCCTGTAGGCTCTCCGAATGTTTTACTAAGTCAGTGTTACCGATACCATGAAAGTATCTTATGACTGACATGATTTGATATTCTTTAACAGTTTTTTGAGATTTTAAGATATTTTTCCCTTGCCCAGGAGGCCCTCAATTATCATTGAAATGAAAATGTTGTATCATCATAGAAACTAATGTGACTTTATGGGCTTCTATTGCAAATGATGTGTGTGCACACTGGGAAGGAGAAGTCTGGTCATGCACATCCCAGCGAACAGTGAGTCACCAGATGTCACATTTAGCAATGTTGATGTTCAATTTTAGGAAACCGGGTCATAGACAAATATGTGTTTGACACTAAAATTTCACAGAACAGAATGCAATCATTGGTGATTTAGAGATGCACCTTAAGGTCTTGTGGTGTCTGCTGTGACTGTCATTGATTCATGAGGAAGTATATAGGGTAGGTAGCAGCCAGAGATGGCACGAATACATTCAGACCATAATGGGAAATTTTACTGGTGGTAGCACAGGGGATAATCACATACCTCTCACAAAGCTGTGAAAAAAGTTCCACAGGAATAAAAATGAAGTAGTAAAAAGTTGAAAGAGAAAATTAGACCCTCTTGCACTGGAAACATAGTCCCAGGCCATCCTGGAGGTGGTGCCTGGTGTTGGCTGTGTGAGCGGGATGGCAGCCATCACGCAGCTGTCCTACACCTGCCCAGGCTGCGGGGGCCCGGGTGGCACTGGCTGTGTGTGTCTAAGATCGCCCGCCCGGCTCAAACCCTCAGGAGCCGTGCGTGGTACGAGGCCACCTGTCTCTGCTGCTCCCTGCTGCTCCTGGGCTTGGTAGCCACTGCCAGTCTGTTTTGGTTTATTGTGTTCCCAACCCACTCCCAAACTTATTTCCAGAAAGAATTTAATTTAAAACCCTTCACTTTTTGAAGCAACATAAGTGAGTTTGTGTTTTCTTTTTCATGGCATTTGCATTTTAATTTTTATTTTTAATTTTATCTAGAAGAGCTGTGTCTCATTACAGTTTCATAAAGTGATTGGGAAAGTTAGACTCCCCCATGCATCTGGGGAGCGGGTTAACAGGTAATATTTATCACCATCATCATCACCACCACTACTCACACCTTCAAAGCCCTTCCATTGTCACTGTCCTCTCCAACACCCTGAAATGCCACCTGCAATCTGCCCACCCCTTCACCTCCTCTGTGGCTTGCTCTGGCTCTAGTAAAAAATATTCAAAGACGTTTTCTAGTTTTAACATCCTATGGTTCACTGATTCCGTGGAACAGTTTCCTGTAAACTTATTATTTTATCTAATCCACAGTTTCAACTATTACATTCCATATATTAACAGTTCAGTTTTGGCTTCATCTGCCAAGAATTTTGCCAGAAACCATGGCATACCTCTTTTCAAAGAGCTAGATTTTTGAGAGCATGCCTGCCCGGAATAGCTCCAAATGTGTGCAGGCGACTCTGGGCGGGGCCAAACATCTTGTGCAAACGGAACGACTTGGGCCAGCATGCCTGTAAGCCTTCACACAACGTTAACATGGAACGTTTTTTCACAATTGTACCACTTGGAGCATCAACTTTGAAGTAACCACGACTTTCAGGTCTGACAGTGGACAGCAGGTGGCACTGTCGTCTTATGATTTCAGCCCTAAGTAAGGCACTAACAAGGGAAAATTTCAGATGCATTTAAAAATGTATTTATGTATATATATTTTGTCTGTCAAGTCAGAAATGTGCTCCATTTTCTCTAATCAGGTTCGTTTGCTTCCTACTGTGTTACTTCAATTGGGAAATAGTCAACCCAGCTTCTTCCCTGGCCATGTTCTTTCCTGGAGCCAGGTACGAGGTTTTAGATTCGCCTGAGTTTGGTCCTCAGTTGTGAGTGCAGAGCGGGCAAACAACAGAAATGCTGTATGTACATGCAGGGTTGGGTGTCCCTCCCACAACTCCAAGTGGTCTCATGCAGACACCCACTTGGCAGCAGGCATGTGGACCCTGGGTGTGGAGACTGTGGGCTGCCTTTCCCTGTCTGAGGCAAGGGAGCCCTGGGGAGGGAATCAGAAAAGGCCTGGTCTAGGGAGCTGGGTGGTGGTCTGAGTGACCGGTGAGGTGGTGCGCTGGGGTTCATCCTTGCTGGCCCCCCAGCAAGCATCTTCGTTCAACTGCTGAGTATGCAATGAGTACGGCCCTTGGGCAGATACCAACAGCACTGTAAGCATCGGTTCACCCATTCCATCACCCATTCAACCAAGGTGGGCCTCCCACATGCCCAAAGTGCTTTTTTCTAGTGATGTCAGTCAGGAGACAGAAACCACACTAGTTATTTTAAGAGAGAGAATTTAATATAAAAATTGTAAACTATGCATAAAGTTGTTTACTAGGTAACTACATAGACCAAAAGACAAAAACAAAGTACCCAGGGGTGGTGACAGGAGAAGCAGTTGCCACCCTGCGGCAGGGGTACCTTTCCTGAAGCTCCAGGGTTTCTGGTGGTGAGTCTCCGTCTCTGAGAAGAAGGCTCTGTTCAGCCAGTGCTGGTCTCTGAGCCTATGGGATGAGGGTGCTTCTGTGGATGTTAGAAAAACTGCAAACTGCATTCGGCTGCTGCTGTGGAGAGGACTTGCCACTTTGGGATGAAGAACTGTGGCTAATGGGACACTCAAAGAAATGGGTAGCCAACTGGAAGATCAAGTTCCTCCTTCCTCCTCCCTCTAGTGCCTCCTACTGGCAAAGCCTGAGGAATGCTAGGGGCACAGCAGTGATGTGGCTTACAGTGCCAGCGCAGATTTTGCAGGGCAGGTCATGGAGACAATAGATGAGTCACCAGCGACACACTCACAGAACTTCCCCCATCCCCATGGACTTCAACCCAGGACCACAGGTTCTGGGACTGGAGGACCGGTCCTCTCTTATGCTATGTGGCTCCTAGCCTAGAAGGGAGAATGTCGTCGGTTGACTCATTCATTTCCTTTTATTGCTGTGATGTGACTTAAAATTTCATTCAAAGTAGTAGAACTTATTTCCTCTCTTTATAGTTTGCAAATAAAATTTTCTCATTTTATCTTTTCATCCTCCCTTCATTATATCCTCATATTTTCTTAGCCTGGGTTTATCTTTCACACAAATCAGATTCAAGAGGAGGAAAAGTATGTCAAAGTGTCATCCTGTGTCTTTTGTTAAATGCAGATGGACAAGGTGAATTGAATTAATGCACTTTCAAACTAGACAGAGCGACAACACTTTCAATAGCTTTCATTATGATGCTAACACCTCTTGTCAGACCTAATAAATCTGACACATATTGGCATTCCCATTCTTTGTTAGGATGTTGGCATGTGCTTGCTAAAAAAATTTTAAGAAAAGTGGAAGTGGAAGAGATCAGGGAGGTTTGCATCAAAGGAGAGAAAACAGAAGTGAATGGAGAATTATTGTGAAGACCAGTTGGTCATTGCTCTTTATTTAGGAAATGCAGTTGCCTGGGACAAGCAAAGTGGGTACACACCAGTCAGGACTGTGCACGGCTGAAAGGGAGGGTGGTGGCTGTTGAACAAAAGACACCAAACTTCTAACACTAAGGGAGGGTGGGCTGGGTGCTATCTGTTGGCAATATATCTCCTTCTGTTTTTTCTCATGTTTCACAGGCCCGAAACTTGGGAACTACATTTCTCCTTCTCCTTTGCCAGGAATGTTCTGCACACATTTTAAATCCCATCAGTGAGTTGAGTTCAC